ATTTTTAAATGGTATATTCTAACTTCACATTGCCATATATGGCCATACATGGCTATGTGACTTCAAGAACACCCTGGTTAATTAACTTGACTCTCAAAGAGATTTATGAGTTACTGTAGAAAGTCCAAGCCATCTAAAATAAATAGAATCCCATATGTTCCCTAGCCTGTATCCTCTGGGAGGGTCAAGTTCCTCTCATTAAACTGTGTGGCCAACGCCAACGCATGAACACATCATGACAGTGTTTCAAAATAGAAAGATAAAGAAGAAAAAGAACTGTTACATTGTATTGAGATGATTGGTCTAAGAATGAAGATTTTTTTTTTTGTATTTTTAAAAAGTTTGTTGAAGAGACTGTACCAAGCAAGATTTGAATAAATATTTACTGGGAAAGGGGCCAGTCAGTATCTGTACAGATAAAAATAGATTAATGTATGCAAATTAGGTAATTAATTGAGCATGTCTACGTGCTTATTGCCAAGTTACATTGAAATACAATGATTGGTTGTTCAGAAATCAATAGAAAAACTGAAAATGTGCTTATTATTATGTAAATTAAGTAATTCGTAAGTATATGCATCTATGTACCTGTATCTGATGTCTTACTTAGCGGTTGATGTAACTGAAAATTGCATTGTGCAAGAGCATATATCTGGTGTGGTAAACCGTCGAATTGTACTAGTTTGTCTCCCCGGTCCTAGGTGGCACTGGCCTGCACCAGTTGACATCATGCTAAATACTATAGTTTGAAAACCCACAACGCTAAAGATCAGTGAACTCTACATAATTAACATATATTAAGTTATGGATATTAGATTATCATCAGGTCGATGATTCGACAACTTGGTAATTTTTTGATGCACTGAGACTTAATAATTCACTTCCCAATTTACAATCTTCAGAGGATATTAGCAAAAAGATGTTATGTTTACATTCCGACCTCTCATCATATGTGTATACAAATCCGGCGTTCTGTCATCAATCTCTGTATTTTAGCCCCTAACTAGACACAGTCCGTGGGCCTATGGATTGGGCTCAGTCCAGTCCGTCCGTCGAATTATCTTCGATTTTCACGGACTGATTTTGTCCAAACTTGTTACATGGTTGATACATTCTTACTGATCAAATACAAAATGACCGACTGGCGGTTATATTGACCTCAAAATAGCCTAAAAACTTACATTTTATACATTCTCCAACAAGACAAAGGTCATTTTCAAAGTATGACTGAAATCAGGAGAGATATCTTTGTGCTTTAATGTGTGATGGTCATATCAGCTATTTTGGCTGCGCTAATATTCGTGCTTTGAGTTGCCGATCTCCAGGCGTAGTTAGAGGCGGTGTACACCGGCCGACCGGAATTTGATGCGAAGGGACCCTTCCTGTATTTGTATATTCATATAATAAAAACGCTTATTATACCTCATGCATTTATTTGGTTTAATAAAACATATACATGTAGGATGGTTTGGGTGGTGGGTTTTGAGTCAGATAAAGCCGCCCTATCCGGAATTTTTTTGGATCATCTCGGTCTCGTCATTTGATCTTGAGTCATACTTTATATCCGTGGCTGAGGCGTCCTCGTAGTCGGACTTTATCCTATACTATAATTAGTGGTATATTATAAATATACCTTGACGCTAATGGCCGCTAAGATCTCATTGCGAGCGAGAGAGCCGTGAGACTTGATTTGGCCAGTCCAAATCTAATCATATTCAATTCTCTTCCGCCATCGCATCTACTGTTTCAAATTCCATGGTCACTCTTGGATGTCACAGTTCGGAGAAAAGTGGGTGCGATAATGGGAGTTAGTGGAACGCTATTTGAAGACCAAACACAGGCTTTGATCTCTCGTTCTCAACGAGATCACGGCGACCACTTTCGCCCGAGGTAATTATTCTCCAACGAGCTATATACATGTACGAACAAGACTGATTAAACTCAGTTGTGGTGACGCACTACAACCTACCAATATTGTATTCATCTGACTGTGTGTCATCATCGCTACAAATACTTAATGATCGTTCACTACCTCAATGTCGTGGGATATAAATCATCACCTGTTCCACGATGTGATTTTACAGCATATGGAATGATGTAGATTGAATGGTTATTGGATGCATGAATTATTATTCGAGCCGTGACCACCACTGGGCAAGGGCAGAGTTTGTAAAATGCTTACATTAGGTGCAACCAACGAGATGTTAAAAATGTTCTCATAACTCACATTTACACCGCAATTTAAAATTGGAAAGATCCATTCTCGAGGTGTTTTTGGTGTGAGTGTGTGTGTGTGTGGGAAGGGGCATTTGTAAAACTTTACCCCCCCAAAAAAACTCAAAATTATCCCTACCCTCATATATCATACTTGCAAAATTTCTCCCCTGTTTTCCCGTGTCCTCAAAAAAAAAAACATCTTGGAACAGCGTTTTCGATGAACAGTCCCATTGACTGTTAAGGTGAGTGTTTTTTCAGCCTGAACAGTGTAGCGTGTTATCTTTTCATTGGTAGAATGTGAACTTTGGACTGTGTACAGCAACAAACTTTTGCTGGTGGATTGAGTGCCGTATTACATCGATTAATATAATCGTACTTCAATCAATAATAGGATCATATTTAGGTGGCCCGGAGTTTCAAATTTATCAATGGCACTGGTTACAGGGAACCGGAAATAGAACACTATATAGTCAAGTTTACTCTCTGTGCTTTGAGTGAGGGTCGGCAATGGGTATTTTCGTAGGCTGTAATCAATTGTTTTTATTTTCGTAATAATGTAATTAAAATAAATAAAAAACAAACATAAATTCGTAGACATGGGCAAGGTGTAAAATGTAATCATCTATTTTATTCGTCCGTAATTAGTACAAAGATCTTATTTTTTGTAAGCGCGTATAGAGCATTTCTCACATTAATAAATGTCGTAATTCGTGTGCAATTTCCAATTAAGATTTTTAAACTCAAATTATCAAATATATTATAATAATGTAAAAATGGAATTTGCCTTAATTGCAGTGTAAAAACCTATTTTTTTTACTGTAAATGGAACTTTCATTTTTTTTGCTGTAAAAACGTAAAATGTCTTTTTTTTTATTTCCTGTAACCTGTAACAGCTCTCCCGCCTTGCCCCCTTCTTGAGTGATGAGTAACACGCGGTCGTTTTCACGATTATTCACCTATGGGAATCTCTTCATGTTATTCTGACTGCTGTTTGATGACGTAGACACTTATTTTTTCTTGAATAACTTGCCCGTGTGTGTCATTTACTATCCTATCTGATTCTATAATAGTCCCATGTACGATGTTGAGTACGACCAGACACAATTGCACGGAGTTGTTTTGGATTGATTATTTCTCGGCTATTTTCCCGCGCGTTTTCACCCAGGAACTATACCTGCATTTGAATGCTCCGCAATCACTGTTCGTGAAATTGAAAATAAGAGATGCTTTTTCAGAAAAGAAAATATTTTTTCACTGTACTTATAGACGACGGACGGCTTAGCGGCAGACTGAGCTCTGCCGCTGTTGTAGTGGTCAAGCTATACGCACTCACAAGCTAAAACCACGGTGTTACTACATTTCTCTGACAACCAACCCAACAGACTGGCAATGCGGCGTTTCCTATTGAAGTAATGCGTACCCTGCTTGTTTTGTCTGAGCATAGTTGTAGAGAAGCACGTGTGCGTGTCGTTTTCACATGATTTGAGTATTGACAACATCCCTCATGTTAGGAACTTACTAGTATATCTTACCATCATGTGATAACACCTATTATGTATCGCGCCTCTATAAGACTTTTCCCACGAGTTATGTGACCTACACGTTGCTCAGAATCATGGTTACGAAAAAAACTAAA